TAATGAATTATATATAACAATAATACATACATAATAATCGGTATTGATTCCTTAATTAATGCGCTATTACAACCTTTTTTAATAACAATACTTTGCTATGACAACGGTATATTACCAACCATGATATATTACCGACCATGGTACATTACCGACCATGGTATGTTACCGACCATGGTACTTTACCGACCATGGTACATTACCGACCATGGTACTTTACTGACAACGGTACTTTACCGACCATGGTACATTACCGACCATGGTACTTTACCGACCATGGTACATTACCGATCATGGTATATTACCGACCATGGTATATTACCGACAACGGTACATTCAAGGCTGGTAATTTACCGACTATTGTAATAAAAAGTAAACTGAATAAGAAAAGAAAAAGAAAACTCGATATAATAAGTACTTAAACATCTAAGTCCACGGATGTGACACGTGCAACTGCGGTTCATCGATTCGTACAAATTTCTGAGCACAAGCTTAGAAAAGCTCGCGTTCTATTTCGACAAGAGCAAACTGCGAGTGACTCGAACGGAGTTCAGCGATCTCTCCACCGAGTACTTCAAACTGCTCACGCAAAAAAATGTGTTTCCATACGAATATGTGGACAGCGTCGACAAATTGTTGGAAACCAGCCTACCACCGCGCGAGGCGTTTTACAGTTCGCTGACCGGTCAGACTGTGACGGAGAGCGAGTACGCGCACGCGACGTACGTCTGGCAACGATTCAACATTGACAATTTGGGATCTTACAGCAACCTGTATCTGAAAACAGACGTACTTTTGCTGGCTGATGTGTTCGAAAACTTTTTTCGCAAGTGCCTCGCGAGTTACGGACTGGATTCCGCGCACTACTACACGCTGCCGGGATATACGTGGGACGCCATGTTGAAGTACACTTGTGTGACGTTCGAGCTGCTGACTGACATCGACATGGTGATGTTCGTGGAACGCGGCATACGCGGCGGTTTGAGTCAATGTTCAAACAGATACGCCCGCGCAAACAAGTACGGGCAATCGTATGACCTATCCGAATCGTCGTCGTATTTGATGTACTACGACGTTAACAATCTCTACGGATGGGCGATGTGTCAACCACTTTCATATGGTAACTTTGCATGGGTGGAGAACGCAGACGAGTTCGATGTGACAACGGTAGCGGCGGACAGCAACGTCGGCTACATACTCGAGGTCGATCTGACGTATCCAAAAGAACTGCACGACGCGCACAGAGATCTACTTTTTTGTACAACGCGTGAGGAGCCGCCTGGTAAACATGGAAAGAATCACGACAAACTGCTCGCCACAGTGTTCAACAAGAAGCGATACGTGATTCACTACCTCAACCTGCAGCAGTGTCTGCGATACTTCGCGTGACGCGAATACATCGAGTACTGCGGTTCTCGCAATTGCCTTGGCTGCGCGGATACATCGAACTGAATACTTGATTCCGCGCGGACGCCACCAACGAGTTTACAGAAAACCTTTATAAACTCATGAACAACGCGGTGTTTGGCAAGACTATGGAGAACGTGCGCAAGTACACCGACGTACGACTCGTTACCAAATGGGAAGAACAATGCGGTGCGGAGGCGCTCATTGCAAAACCAAACTTCCACAGCCGCAGCGTGTTTGCTGAAGACCTAGTGGCCATAGAACTGCGTCGTCTGGAAGTTTTATTCAACAAATCGTTGTACGTCGGTATGTGCATACTCGACATATCAAAAACCTGTCTATACAAATTCCATTACGACTACATGGCACCGTTGTACGGTTACAGTTGTAAGATCCTCTACACCGATACCAACAGTTTGATATACCACATAAAGTGCGAGGATGTGTACGAGGATATGAAACGCGATATCGCTCGCTTCGATACGAGGTATCCAGCGGACAATCCATACAACATGCCTCGCGCAAACAAGAAGGTACCGGGACTTATGAAGGATGAGAACAACGGTGCTGTTATGACGGAGTTTGTGGGTTAGCGCGCGAAGATGTACGCGACTCGAGTGGGCGACAGCAAGTGCACGAAGAAGGTGAAAGGTGTGAAGAGAAGCGTCGTCGCGAAAACGATTACCTTTGACGACTACGTGCAATGTCTGCGGAACGCAACCGAACTGACGCGACAGCAGTCGTGCATACGATCTCAGTTGCATGAGGTGTTCACCTTGTCGGAACGGAAGCTCGCTATGAGCCCGCACGACGACAAGCAGTACATCATCCATGGATCGACCGACACCTGACTGTGGAGCCACTACAAAATCTCTAACTTAGATTAGATTATGTTGATGATATAATAATAATAATAATACACATTAAATGAAGTATATGTAATTGTTTTTTATTGTATAAAAAAAATACATATGTACGACTTTGTAAATATAAGAATTAAAGAGAGTACACATAGCGTAATAATAATAATATTAGATCACATTGTTCTTATTTATCCAGGAATTGTGTGAATTGTTTAGTCCCAACCACTTGATCAACACCTCGTTGCCTCGGCGACGCAGAACCTTTTCTACGAGATACACGTCCGGATGTTTACCCGCGTGCAACTCGTGCTCATAGAATTTGCCGGCTATTGGTTCACCGCGATAATCCTCGGGCAGATAGGTTGCTGGTGCAGTTTGTTGCACCTTTTTAACGCGGAACACCGCGGTGGTCCAGTTTGTAGTATAACCTTTCGCAAAGACAATTTTGTAATTGCTCACGCGCACAGGATCGCCGACTCTGAATCGCGGCGGTCCTGCGATTTTGACGTTGCTGTACACCGTGCGCAGGAGTCGCTCGCTCGAAGCCGGCGTTACGTCGATTGGCCGCGCGTCGATGGTGCGATCCAGCGATACGATCCGTTTAGCGTAAACATTTTCCACATGTTGTTCTTGAGCGTGCGATTGAAACGCTCAACCTCTGACGCTTTCATACCAGAATATGGGGCGTGTTCCATTTGACCACAGTACGATTCGACACCGATCAATTCGACACCACATTATTGGACACAAAATTATTAGACACAAATTTATTCGACACCAAATTATTCGACACCGTACGATTCGACACCAAATTATTTGACACCGTACGATTCGACACCGATTTATTCGACACCGTACGATTCGACACGAATTATTCGACACCGTACGATTCGACACGAA